TTACCGATGATAGGGACATAGTGACCATCGACTGCTTTCGCGCCGGGCCCGACATACATGTTGACGCGCTTGTTCATCGCGGCAGCAATCTGAAGGGCGATGGGACTCAGAACGGTGCGCGAGGCTCCAGTGTCGTACAGAGCCCTGCAGGTAAATGGACCGATGCTAAGCGTCAGCCACCATCTGGGGTACTTCTCTACCAACGCGCTCGTCACAAAACTATCGGAACGCGTTGGCGCTTCTCCCGCGGGGGCATCTGCAGCGAAGGTCCGGGTCGCCATCGGAACGGTAGGGATCTCATCTACGCGTTCCTCTCCCCGTTTTTTGGTGCCTCGATTTTTGAGCACTCGGGACAGGTGGCTTTGGTGTACCCAGGCCAGCTGCAGTCCCAACAGAGTAATCTCTCAGCATCGGGGCCGGGAGGCTTGCTCTTGTTTTTATCCGACTTGGGAGTGATGACTTGGGCCTTTCGAAGCGGCTAAAATAGTATTCAGCGCTGCAAGGTAATCGCGGACCGGTTCATCGGGGCCCTGTGTCCGCAGGTGTGCTTCAACCGATAGGTTACGGTTGTACTTCCTGGATTTACTGTAGGCGGATAGCGCGGCATCTTTGAACTGCTCATACGACGACCATGTGGGCCGTAGCAAGCGATACCATCGAAGCGCAGATCCGCGAAACAGGGTGGATAACGAGTCTAAAAGCTCGTCTTCCGCTATTCGGTCTAGGCAGCAGTTTTCTTCAACGCGCTCCTAAAATTCCTCGATGCTGATGGTGCCGTCTCCCGCAAAAGAAATCTTCCATTCCCTGATGATTTTCCCTAAATTCCTGGTTGAACTCATCGAACGGGAGGTTGCGAGAAGTGGGCTCGATCGCCAATTGGGGACACCGAAGCTCGAAGGGATTTGGGCTTGCGCAGCGGCCGTTTGTTGCGCGCCCGTCGCTTGCGGGAGCGGACGACTTGAAGATGAGACCCCCCTTCCCCAGCTCGAGCTTGCGGGGATGTGAGGGATCGCGTTGGGAAACTCAGCTTCCCTTAATCGCGTGGCCGCTTGCATCCTGTCGGCCGGTCTAACTGGTGCGGCTGAATATACTGTTGGCCCTGTCGCGTATTGTGTTGTCTGCTGCTTCGTTGTCGAGCAGAAGATTCGTGCATGGGGATTTACGTTCGGGCTGGTTATAGTTAGGTCGAAGTCCGGATCGATGAGGCTGTATGTATCGCGAAAATTGACAGCTTTATCTGTGCGCGTCGCGTTAAACCGTGTGCGCTCGTTTTGTTGTTGAACTCTTGCTTCAACTGCTTGTAGTCTGGCGAGGAGGTTATTGTTCGTGGTCTTCAGATCTTCATTTTGTCTTATAAGTTTGTCGTGTTCGTTTGACATAGCTTCTAAACAGTTTTGAAGATCGAGAATTTGTTGAGCCTGTGAACGTTCCGCTATCACTGCTCGTTTTAGCTCCTCGGCTGCTAAACGTGGCATTTGTTTATGTTCGCCGCAAGGCAGATTAACCCATATGAGGTCTTCCCGATAATTTATCGTACTTGGGGTGCCTATTGTAGGTATCGATGCCTCGTGCGCTCATGTTGTGTTCGTGTTGGCATGACGTTGTTCACTTGAGCCTACGTTTGCTGCTGATACTATGAACGGCGGTGTTGACTGCGATGTCGGCACGTGGGCGCTCGTAATTACCGCGAACATCGGTGTGTGTGTGCGTACCGCATCTCGCATGAGTGTCTCGTGTGTATTAGCTGTTGTTGTGAGTGACATGTCGCCGTTATTCGTTTCTTCTATTTCTTGGCTATTTATCATGTCTTCTTCTATGTCTTGATTAACGGCGTTAACGAGATCTTCACGCAATTCTCGCGGTAGCGCGTCTGATTTTATAAAAGTGAGACAAAGGTTATTACGCCGCGTTATCGTTTCGTGGTCCCACGCGTCTATGGTTTGTATGAAGTCTTTTTCTTCATAGTCACCTTGCAGTCGTCTATATAAGCGGTTCGCGCGTTCATACATTGTGCCGTCTACCACGAGTTCAAGATCTTCCAAAACGTTATCTATTCTATCACTTGGCAAGCTTTTTTTTTTTTTTTATATTTTAACGTCGCTCTATTTATGCTTCATCAGTGCTAATCAGCGACGGAGGCTTGCAATGTGTTTGAGAACAAAGCACATGAAACTTTTTTCAGTGGTGCTTGTATCAATCAGCAGGAACTGAGAATCGAACCCGGGCCTACCGGGTGCGAGTCCGTCGCCCTACCGACCGAGCCATTGCAGGCCTCTTGGCAAGCTTTTAATCCATTCTTTAATGTGATTGTCGATTTTTTCTTTTATAATTGTTAAGTCAGTTATATCTTTTTCGGCCATTTTTAATTTTTATAAAACTGATAACGAAAAACAATAGTTTTGGAATATCCTGAAATAGTGGATTTTAATTGTAGGTCGCGTAACAATTTTTAAGCAAATACGCCCGATCGTTGCCAGCACGCACAGCGGAAAATAAATGTTGTTACGCTTGTACGCATACGTTTCTAAATACTAAGAATTACGACTCTCGCTCGCACGCTATGATAAAATTTTAAGGTGCTGAAAACCGAGCGCCTTGTTTTGGTTGTGCGCTGTGGCTAGCTTCTAAACGTAAACAATTCTTCTCTCGTCGCGCGCGTCGCATTCCTCGGTGGATTCTACGAACACGCGCTTTCGCTATACAATTGTAATTCGAATTTCGGAATTTTCACAAAGCTATTAAACCCATGTGTTGTTGGGCGCCATAATATAACGGGGTTTTGACCCAGCGCGGGTCACTCGTTATATAAATTACGAGGGGAATAAACAGCTCGGCGTGGGCCTCGTAATAGGCTGCGCAAAGCCTAGCCCAGCGGCAACAGGAACGTCGTGGTGCAGCGTCTGTTACCTTGGCCCGCGGAGAGCGTCGTGTAGTCCTATGGGCGCTTTGGAATAATCACGAAATTTAGGTGCGAAAGCCGGACGGAACGGGATTGATTACGATAGGTGAAAGGAAGCGCAAAAGAAGAAAACAGATATACAAATAACGTCGAGTTTACTACGGAGAGTAATACAAAATTAATACGCAGCGTAAGCGGGAGAGAGAGCGGCGAAAAGCTAGCGAGAGAAACATGTATTCGAGAAGGTACTTACAATAATATCTCGGCGTTAGCCTTGCAGGCGCTATCCTCAGCCTCGCACGTGGCTCGCGATGACGCGCAGTGTACAGCTCGGGTGCAGTCAAGAAGCGGGCGGCCTTAAAGGCTCGCACGCGCGGTCGCAGGAACTAGCCCGCCAAAGGCACTAGGGGCAATCTTGGCACCGATATCTCACACCGAGTGGACACTCGCGTATTCGCAGACAACCGAAAAGTCAGTCACAAAAGGTTAGTCGCGTAAAGTCGGATAACAAAGATCGCGAGCACAAGTATAGCCGCTCGTCACACGTCCACGTGCTTCGAAGTCGCCAGTATAAGAGCGAGTCCTTATCGCGCGCCTCTCCGAACTCTTCTACTCGCGCGCGTCGCGCCGGCCTCCCGAATTCTCTCTCTCTAGCTCGCCCTCTATTAGCGCTCTCTCTGACTTACCTTTGGCTGCCATACATGTGGGATAATTATAAGACAATTATATATATAAGAATAATTATAATTATGTATAGGGAGAGAGAGACATAACGAGGGTCTGGCCGCTCGTTATAAGGTGAAACGGGCCGCTAAAACTGGTTTAAAGTAACTTGTATACATGTGATAAAAGTAATCTGAAAGTTACAGAATGATCGGCGATTAACACTTGGGTAGTCTTACTTGTGAGTCGTGGAATATCGCGATAGCATGTAGTCCGATTTGAATGTTGTGATTACACTTACCTTGCTCGACATGATTCTGGATATAAGGAAATTTCAGTTCAATTTGAAACAGGGATAAGGCAAGGTGATTGTGAAAATTTCAAAGCAATAGTTCAAAGGAAATTTGAGCGGTTTCATTAAATAAATGCGAATGTGAAGATGTAATGTGTAATAATTTACAAAATCAAAATTGTGTTTTGATTATGTGTCTATCTGAGTGTGTAGGCTCTCTTTACTGACTAATTAAAATTAGTTAAAGAAATATGGTAATTTGAAGATTTGCAGCTATGCCACACCATACTCCGCTTTGCACTAGTAAATTAAATATTAAATGAGCAAAAGTAAAAAATTAATTAATTATTTGTCGGCATTTTCATAAAATCAATGAGTTAAATAATTAAATAAGTGAATAAAACTGGACTATAATGGCTATTATAGTCCAGAACGCTAGACTATCATGAGTCATTATAGTCCAGGAGCCTCCTCCGCTATACTAGACTACTTTCTACGCTGAGCATGCTCTACACGTAAAAAATCTGCTTACGGGCGCCTAAACTGAAAAATTCTATTATTTAACTTAAATTGTATATTTTTATGTTTGAAAATGGTGCGTCGATAAAAGAATGAGGAGAGCCATAATTATTTATAATCTAAGGTGAAAGGTTAATTTTTATAATTTCAATATTTCTTTTTCATTCTCTTTGAATGGTAAAAATTTTTGTCTTCTTGAAAGGGAAGAATTCGGTGGGAAAAATTAGAACGGGAAACAGATTGCAGTTTTATGGCCCTCTTCTCTCATCGGCATCTCAGCGCTCACGTGTTCAGAGGCTGCATGCACTTCATATGCAAGTGCGAGGGTACGAGGGGCAGAAGAGCGTAATGAAAAAAGTAATGCACGCTTACATATATTTAGACTATAGATGTTATTGCTATTTGGAGACTATCAAGAAAAATTTCCCTGCGACACTCGACTCGGTTCCCACAGCTCATGGGAGACGGTTTCAACTCTGCCGTTGGTCTTAATACTAGGAGAAATTATTCTTTTAAAATTTTTTTAATTTTAATCATATCGCCCACCGTCACAGTATCATTCAATGTTAATTGAAAGAACTCTTAGTCTAAAAAATTTCACGTTATAAAATATAAAAAACAACATACCTTCCAAGCCAATGAAAGCATTAGAATCTATTACAGTAATTTGATTGCCATCTAGTTCTAATGAATTAAGTAGAGTTAATTCTGAAAAAACACGGGCAGGAATTTCTTGGAGGTGATTATGAGCAAGTCCTAAAGAGTCTAGATTTTTTAAACCTGAAATCAAAAATTTTGATCTATGTTAATTTTTTACTTACTAGATTATTATAAGCAAAATGTACTAGAAAGAAATAAAAAAATTTATTAATAGTAATTGTATAGGTATTGGTAGGCTTTCGTGTTCTACTCGCTCTACTGGCCAATCAAAGCATAAATAAATGAAAGAAACTGATTGAATAAAAAATAAAAGTAATCTTTAAAATATATATATGATGATTATAATAGTATCCTTCATGCAGGCGGTCATTAGAGAAAGGCCAATAATGTCCGTTGAAAAATTGAATAACTCAGGCCGACAAAATTTCGAAATAAAAAAAATTTTGAAGCAAGATAGTATATTTCCGTAGGTTTTTAAAGTTTTAAGTCTGAATTTGGCTTCAGAATTGATCCGTCACCTAAGGTTTTCGAGACATCCTAACCTAAGTGTACGAAAATCATGATATTTTGTTCGAGATCAAGTAATATCGTGAAAATTTTTTTTTTTTAAACAATGGGAGTCGTGCTAATACAGCACTCTTGACCATTCAAATCCAATTTCTTGATTAAAGTTATGTTTTTTTCATCAAAATATAATTGATTGAAGTTAAGTACTTTAGCAGTTTTGCAACAACATTGAAACAGCTCAATCGCCAAATACATATATCTAACATACTCCAGACTTTTAAACCCAATATCGATTATCTTAACAAATAATCCCAGTAATCTACGAGACTATAGATCCAGATTCTTGAACCCCAATTGCCTCAACTCCTGACTCCTGTAATCTGTGACCGTATAACTCCAGACTCCTGAAATTCAATTGCCTTAATTCCTATAACCTGTGATTTTAATGTTGTGAAACTACTATAATATTTAATATCAATCAATGATATCTCGATGCAAAAAATAAAGATATTTGGAATACAAAAAATGAGATGTAAAGAGCAAACGTGCTGCTGTGTTTTAACTGATTTTTAGTAAAAAAATAATCGTAATTTTTGCACTTTTAGATTAAGATATCTCGAGATTCTTAGGTGATAGATTAATTTTGAAGCCAGATTTGGATTTAGCCCTTCAAAAATTTACGGAAATGTATTATCACGTTTCTAGATCTTTTCCATTTGAAAATTTTTGAACGTACAACGTACATTTGATATTATATTATTATCAATATGTGTCAGAGAGAAAAAAATGAGATGATCACTACATATTCTGTTACGTGATAAATTATGTCATAAATTACGTTAGGTATCACATGATAATAAAATTTTATATTATAAATTATTTATCAATCAGGTAAATTTGGTGTTTTATATTTTAATAACTCTTACTAAAACATCGATATAAGATTAATCGATTTAAGAATGTATGTTTAATTATTGATTTTTATTCGTTGATAAAAATACATAATTCATTTACTACAGACTGTGACGGTAAACGTCGAATTAGCGTTAATGATGTAACCTAATTGCTGCGCTTCGCCATCGAGGGCGAAGCCGCGTGCGAGTGAATTCGTGATCCGCGACACAAACTCAAAACAGTTCCCTCGCAGTGTGACTTATTAGTGCCATCTTCGTACGCCTGCGATATTAAGGTAAGCTGGCCAGCTTAATCTCGCGGTCGCGATATAATTGTTATAACGATTAATTTTCCGACATCTCAGGCGTGCATGTAATAGCTCTTCCAACAAAGAGCAGCGAGCGTTCCGACACTGCATGTTGTCGTCGTGCGAGCGTCGATGTAAACAAACACGCGGGCCGACCTTATGTAGCATTTGATAGATAATAAAAGATTCTATTCGTGACATTAACAAGTGCTTTCAACTCGCTCATTCCATATTGCTTCCACTCACTTTCTGGTAGATTAGTAGATTGACTGGTTGACTGACACCTGTTTCCCCATGCTCTCTGGATTGCGTTTTGAGCATAGATGATTACATTCGCCCTGTAATGAATCCGCGCGAATAAAGATAATTAAACGGTATCTATCCCGTTACAAGACATAACTACAACAATTATATAATAATAAATTTTGTAATGGTGGAAAGAAGGGAAATAGTGATAGATGGAAAATCACTTTATTTTAATTATATTCAGCAACGTTTCGTCAGCACATTTGCTGACCTCTTCAGGCTTTATTAACAGAAAAATAAGAAATTATTAACAATAAAGTTTCAAATGTAATTTTTAAAGGCAAATTATATGTATATGTGTGTACTTGATTTCTCTCGTAGTCAAATTATTATAGGTTAAAACGAACAGCTCGTAGCCAGACACGTTACAATACAGTAAGAAATCAAGTATTTCAACCCATATATATAATCTTCATCCCCTGTTGGAAATAAATTTATGCATATAATTGCAGTGAACAAATATGAATATAAAATAACTTTTATAATCAGTTATTTACAGTTTATAATAGTTTATAAACGTCAGATTTTAGACACATATAATTGTTATTATCAATTTAATTGAGTTAATAAATGTTATCAACAGTTATTATCAATTCATAACACTTATTAACAGTTATTTTCTTTTATCATTCGTCGCAAAAAAATTGGGTTCGCGAATAAAAAAGCTAGTAAATGATAATATCCGAAAATAACTGTTAGGTTGGTAAAGTAAACTGTTAGTAAATGATAATATCTGAAAAAAACTTTTTATTTTTGTCAATAAATGTTACTGACAATTACTTTGCTGTTACATTGGAGATCATGTAGTAACTAATAGTAACTGAAATTAACTGTTCAAAACATCTAGTAACCAAATCTCAATAAATATTTATGTTTGCGTAGGACGTAATAAACAAATTAATTTAATGATGATGAAATTAGGTGAGGTAAGGCAGCGTGTATGGGTTGTGCGAAATAATAGGATAAAATTTTAGTAAATTGATTTTGTTTAATGGCATAAAAAAACCTCCTCGAAGTGAGAAGGAAAAAAGCCGCAAAGGCGAAGCAAATTATAAATACAGTAATTGATAAGAGATTGGGATTACAAAATAATGCACTATTATTATTACTATGATGAGTGAGTAAAGCAAATTGATTACGCTGATGCGAAGTAATAAGGCTCGCAGAGCCTTTACAAACGTTGCGGTGGAATGGCCATTCACTTATTAGAATTCGAGAGCTCTTTTACCTTTGGACGACGCACACGCACACAATGATTGAGCGAGCGAAGGGAGAAGGTGATGCCAGGTATGAAAGGTGCATGCAGCTCCAATGCCTTGGACACGGGTACAGCCCTTACTGCGATGTCACCGAGTTGCCGATCTGAGGGCGCGGGGTTTGACAGCACCCCAGAGGAAACTGAAGTCGCCTCTACTAGCGCAGGAGTTGATTCGTCGCTAGTTTCTCGAAGCACGCGAGCACACACAAGAATATAAGCGGTCGAAGACGGCTAGACATAAATGTGTTAGCGATCGCGCGTCGGTATAACTGCAGAAAAAGAGATGCGCACGAGAAGGAGCGTAATAGTTGGCTACCGTTCCGGTCGAACTCTTTTCCCAGACTAAGTTCTGACGTGGCGTCTTCTTGGGGATGCCACTACGGCGAAAAGCGCGGAAAGGCGGGAAAACTACCCTCTCTCTTTGGGTCCCTTTCGCAGGATCCAATCAGAGATTAGCGGGAGTGTAGCGAAGAGAGTCCGCGCGGAGTTCGGCTACTCAAGGGCCAACGGCGAGCGAGAGAGAGAGAGTCCCCTTTTTTTATTGCCCAACGCTGCGGGCGGAGCGGCCCGAGCAATTAGGGAAAACCCGGACATGCCGAACTCGTTTATGATGGGATTAGCGTTACGGTACGATGGAAACAATGAACACATGTAGAGAAAACTCAACACGTTTATTTTTGGAAATACCTAACACGTTTTTGGGGAATCCCCAGCGCAATTAGAGAATAAGCACGTATTTTGAAGAGTGATTTGCTGCGAGAAATAAAGTAAAAGGTGAAGCGAGAGAACGCGTAATTGTAAAATAAGGGAGCGGATTCGCCGCGAACAATTTATTTTGATGGATATATAAAAATAATAATTCATCAAACTGTATTGAATGTTATATATTTGAAATTAATAATTTTATATGAAAATGAAATAGAGTATCAATTTATACAACTAGCAATTGATCCTTTTACAAGAGAACTCAAATAATGCTGACTTTTACATTTAGTTACGATACAAGATCTATGCAGTTGTGAATAATGTATACAATGAGTGTCGTTGGAATCTAATGAAATTCTTCGTAAATTTATTATGTCTTCTAATTTCTCATTTCTCAGTATGGAAATATTTGATGTACACAACAATTTGAAAAAGACAAAGACGTCGTATTTATTCTCATAATTTATTAAATTAATAGCAGTAATGATACCAAACTTTTTAACTTTAGTTTCAAAGACAGAATCGTTTGTCTTTTTGCTGTTCGAAAAACCGCAAGTTGTATACCTCACATTTTCATATAATATTTGATCATATTTTTTACATTCAGTTATTTTATTAATATCTATATTATCACTATTACTCAAAATTTCTTCATCGCAAAGTTCTTTCGTTTTTCCCACTCCTAATAAAACACAGTCTTTAATTTTTAGTGCTTTCTGAAGGTGATTACTGCGCAATTGATTACAAAAATCTATTGATGATTGAGTTATAAATTTTTCAGTTTCTAATTGATAAATTGCCTGGTAAGTTGCTAATCTCATTACAATTTCTTTAGCAACGTTGCAATTACCTTTCTTCATTCTTAATAAATTTTTATTTTGATTTTCAAAAGGAAACGTATTTATACACCATAATGGGCCCCAATTTCTTACAGTATCACATATATGTAAAAGAAGATGGACAGTATCACATATATGTAAAAGAAGATGGACATTGTAATGCATATATTCGTCTCCAAAGTATTTACCGAAATAAAATACAAATTTTACTAATAATTGTCGAGCAGTTTCAAGATCATCAAACGATATATCTTGAAGTAGAATATTCATGGCTGTAACGAACATAGCTAAGTGATTGATATAC